GAGAATCGAAAAGGCTTTAGCTTGTGCTGCCTGCCACTGAATCTCAACTAAAGAAGAGTGAAGGAGAGGTTTTGCCTTTTATATGATTAGGATGTCCACACAAAAGCTGTGTGAATGGAGCAGTAATCCAAGCAAAGTTCAGGGGGATGTGTTGGTAATAACTAGGGTTGCAGCAGGTAGGCAGCTGTCATTTGTAAGGAGCACACGGAGCTCCTGGGATTTGTACATCTCTGTTTTAATGTACGATTTTGTTTTTATAAATATAAATAAAGGGATGCACAGATACCAGTTTTGCGAGTACGAGTACTGGTACTTGCCGAGTACTTACAAGTACGAGTACTGATACATTTTTGTTGTCATGTGACAGTTTTTCTAAAACAATACAGACTAATGATTTTAGGACAGTGGTGGAGCGCTAGAGCCAGGTCCCAGCTGCAACCGTTGCCCCCCTGGTAGTTCTCATGAAAATGCCAAGTATCTGCACTGGTACTCGAAAAGGATCTGTGCATCCCTAGTAATAACCAATTAGACTCTAGAAGGATTGTAACCTGGTCAGTTTGAGGGGTCTGCCAATTTTGTAGGGCATACCTCTTGGTTGAGTGATACCCATTAAGCCTCAACTACATGTCTCAGGTACTGTAATAAGGTGACATTTATTCACCTGGAGCTTCAGTCTATACAGGGTAAACCAAGTAAGAACCTAGTGTTGGTGTCGGATATGCTCGTCAAAAGTCTTGGAGAATATTATGATATACCGTATTTTTCCCCCCAAAAGGAGGAGGGAAATGTGCCTGCGTCTTATGGAGCAAATCCCGACTCAGGTCTAGCATGGAAAAATAACAGTTTGAGTGATCTAGGGCAGAGATACCTCGATAGTTCCTAAGTCCCTTAGTGAATGTAACCATATGTTTTCAAACTAACCGCTGCAACTGTATTAATGGCTCCAGCATTATCTCCTGCATAGGGAGAGGGAATTGTTCCAACAACTGCAGAAAGTAGGCATCTTTCAAGTCTTCAGTGCATTGGTTAGGCCAAAGGGCATCTGATTAATCTCGTACAAATCTAGAGAGGTAATGCAAGCAGTCTTTTCATGGTCCCCTTCCTTGACGGGGACTTACCAATATCCACTGGCCAGGTCTAGCATGGAAAAATAACAGTTTGAGTGATCTAGGGCAGAGATACCCTTAGTGAATGTAAACATATGTTTTCAAACTAATCGCTGTAACTGTATTAATGGCTCCAGCAGTATCTCCTGCATAGGGAGAGGGAATTGTTCCAACAACTGCAGAAAGTAGGCATCTTTCAAGTCTTGAGTGAAGGTCTGCAGGGAGGCACATGCAGCCTCCCTGTCAGAGCAGGAAGAAAGGACACTGAGAAAATATCTGCGATTGTCAGTTGAGAGAGGAGTCATACAAGGCAGGTTCCTAGATTGTCACTTTGCACTAAGACTTTCCCTGCTGTACTACAGAGTCCTGGCCACCTATTTGCCTTTTACTTCAAGGTTGTGTTCGGGCTGTCTATCATGATGGTGGTCCCTAATTCCAGCTGGAAGTGGACGTACAATCTCTTGCCGGGCTAGTCTCACTAGCTCTCTGTATATGATTATTAGTTTGCTGCCAGTATATCCTTTTACTGAAGATTGCTCTGTCTCCCTCCCTGTGTTTAAGGTTAACTATGCCATTAATGCTCTTCATAGATTTCTCAGTTTTTTGTTTCTCACGTACTTCCTCTTATTTTCAAGTGATGCAATTATTGTCTATTGATAGATGGGCCTTTGAACCAGAGACATTTGCTTGGCATGTACTTTTTGATATTGGATGATGTACTATTATTTTGCATGATGACATTGCCGTACCTATGACCGGGTTCTACTTTTTCATGCAATCATGTTATGTATATGAATTATATTTTCAGTAGGGAACTGGGTGATGTTTGGAGGTTTCTGTGTCATTCCAAGATTTTAGTATAGTAAAGGTTTTATTTAGACATGTGCGATTCGTTTCGTTCCGAATCGAAATTCGGACGAATTTTCGTAAATTCGGACATTCGGATGTATCCGAATTCCGAATTACAGACATAACGAATGCAACGAATCCGAATTTCCATTTCCGAAATTCGGTAGCGTTCGCACGAACGTTCGTTTCGTTTTCTGTTCTTATTCGTTTCTTATTCGTTTCGTTCGTTGGAGCAAAGTGACCTTAGAGAAGGAGAAAAATATTTTTTCCCCCTCAAATGTCACTTTTGCTGCAAACGAACGAAACGAATAAGAAACGAATAAGAACAGAAAACGAACCGAACGTTCGTGTGAACGCTACCGAATTTCGTCCGAATCCGAATTCCGAATCCGAATTGACTTTCACACCCGAATCCCGAAAAACGAAATAACACAAATCCGAATTTAAAACGAAACGAAACGAATTTTTTGGCAGTGCACATGTCTAGTTTTATTCACTTTTTCTATTGGACAATACATTTATATTTTCTTAAATTATTGGATCTGTCATTCAGTGCCCCAAACGCCCCACTATGTTCTTCTATTTTTCTACATTTTAGAAACAAGTTGGGGGCAGGATAATGCATTCCCTACAGGTTGCCCCTCTGCCATGGGAACACCTGTACGGTTATTCACTAAAGGGTGAAGAGTTTGGAGAAGTGAACAATCTAGGCCAACATAGCCGATTATCCAATTTAGCTCACTTTTCGGATCAGCTATGTTGTCCTAGATTGTTCACTTCTCCTGCCTTCTCCAAACTATTTACCCTTTAGTGAATAACCCTGCTAGTTTAAAGGCAAGTGTGAATCAGGCCTGGACCTCCCTCCCCCACAATTCCTGGGAACATGTCCTAGACGCCCGCACTACCAACACTTAGGTTCAGTGTCTGGGTCCCTCTGCAGAGGATTGTTTCTAGGAGGTGTCTACAGTAGTCTTTTTTGACTGCAGCCACCTCCTGCCTGACAGAGGCTAAAGATGCTGCTTGCACTACTGTCACCAGAGTTTTTGAGAGCGGGTGTAGCTGTCAAGGGAGATGACATGGCCACTTCTTCTATATCTAGGGACTGTATGAATCCCTGGGTGACCCTCACCGGGTCTCCACCACTTCCTGGATACATTCGACAACCTCTTGTAGGGAAATTGCAAATTTCACTACATTAACAGTCCACATGCAATCCCATAGTCATCGTTTAATTGGCCCAGACAAAACCCCGATAATAAATTGATTACAGGTCACCTGACCAGGATTTTGTATGGCTGCAAAGCCTGGTCCATCGTTGACTTCCAGGCAGTTTCATAGCTCCTGTATGGCCACTGTGAACTGCAGGATAGTCTCTGTCTCTTTCTGACTCCAGGTGAAATTTTTCTGGAGTTTTGTCACCAAAGTAATTACCCTATACAAACTCTCTAGGTGGGCCACTATGGCTTCTCTAGTCCTTTTCTTTCTCAGGTAGGACTAGCCCCACCTATCTCTCCCCCATTAAAAACTGTCTAACCAGGTTCCTGATCTTCAACAGGTCGGAACCTGCGTTAGACATGTACCCCCACCCCAGCAAAACACCCAAATAAAAAGTTTGGCTCTGGCGCTGGGGATTAGAACTGCACGTTCTAAATGAGCCCCAAATTCCAGGTAGTTGATTGCAACATCAGAAAGCTGTGTCACTCAGATTTGGAACAATCATGCTGCACTTTCCAGTCATTCTGCCCAATCCACAAAGGGAATATTTGTGGCAGTAAACTTTGGGGTTAACTCCAGTATGGCTCCATCATGCACCATAGCCATCCCTCTTACCATGTTCATCACTGAGGATGATGGTTCAGTCATCCTGCCAGCTACACCAAAATGTGGGAATGGGGCTAGCTGAGTGGCAGCTATTTAAAAGTACCAGAAAATACAACTTTTTTTAATTTTATGGTTTTTATAACGAAGAATAAACAGTGTGACGGACCCCGGGTACCCCGACTGGGTACCTCCGCTAAAGAGCTTAAAATCTCCTGTTCTCTTGCTGGGCCATAATCGGTGGGTAAGAGGCCAGCCTGCAGCCCCCTCCAACTAGCACAGTGACGGTGCAGTCCGTCACAAACAGTATGGCAATATTGTAGCTATTCAACAACAAATGTATGAAAAAATAAGGCACTTTCTCAGTTCTAGCACAAGGCAATTCAAATAGTCAGAACTTACAGTGAGTAGCATGCCCAAGGACTGCTCCTTAAACAGGTCCCCTATGTTGGCATAGAGTGGCCTCACAAATAAGGTGCTGTGCTGTTGATACAGGGCACAAGAATGCGCCAAAAACCAGATGCAGGCTGGAACAGGGTCCTTCCCAAAACCTGCAGCAGTCTCCAGGGCTATTCCCTTCTGTCCCTACACTGTTCCTCCTAATTCCCCTGCCTATATATCCCTAACCAGTGTGTGATAAGTTCCTATCAAACCATATACCAAAATGACCCAGCCGGAGGCCATATAAGGTCTTTCTGGGTTCAATATGGGGGCCCAAATCTGGGGAGAGCTATTTGTCCAATCAGACACAGACTTCACCAAGACAGCCACCTGAAGTGCAGTCCACTGAGGGGTTCCCCTCATGCCAGAAGTAAACAGTTATCATGTGGTCACTGTGTTTACCTCTGACAGCTAAGCAGGAAGTGAGTTTTAGTGAGTCATCAGGTGTAGTGGCAGATGTCACACTGCACCCTGCTACAGGAAGGATCACAAAAAAAGGGATCTGAAAGAATCTTCCTTAATTTCAGTTTAGACTACAAAATCTAGGGAGCGCCAACCTTGTATTAGGACAAAACATATCTTTTCATTAGCTCCACTTGCCATATTCATCTGACAGACAATCTCCATGCATATGAGAAAAACAAATCTACTTGTGGGAATTTTCTATAATATCTTCACCTGGCTACTTCTATCACTATGAGTAGTGACAGGTGGTCATTTGACATGCAACACCTACCCTTTATAAGACCAGGAGCATGAGTAGATAAGGTCACATTAGCAGGCAGGATGAAGCTCCTACTTCTGCTGGTGATAGTTGGGCTTTGCTCAGCTCAATACAATCCCAACACAAGGGCTGGGCGAACATCAATTGTCCACTTGTTTGAGTGGCGATGGGACGACATTGCAGCAGAGTGTGAAAGATACTTGGGACCCAATGGATTTGGAGGAGTACAGGTAACTAAACCATACCCTAAACATTACTCTGATAACACTCTAATTTTTTTTACAGTCTCAGTGGTTGCTTTGTCCAACTATTAAAGTATATCTATACCCAAAACTTTTTGTTAGCTTTAGATAGAGTGGGGGAGGGTTAGAACCCTTGTCAAGCTTTGCAGCCATCCAGGAAGCGATTTCCCCCCTTATTTTCTGTTCTGAGGACAACCTTTTACCAAACAAAAATTAAGGAACAATTTACAATAGAGACAACAAAACAAAGCTGCCAAGGGTTCTAGCATTCCCCTATGGCTGCAAAAGAACTCTTGGCAAAATGTTTATTCACCCTTGCAGTCGAGTTATAACCGCACTGCAAGGGTTGACTTGTCGTTTTTGTCTAGGCGCTAAAAAACAATGTACTCACCCGACCTGCTGAGCCAGTATTCTGTTGAAATAGCCAATTCGTCGGGATCTGCAACCGTGTCACTTCCTGTTGGCGGTACTGCACATGCGCGCACACCCGGCTGCATAACAAAAAGCCCATAAGAATACTCGTTGAGTTGTCCAAACTGCTGCAGAACCCACTTCAAAGCACTGTATTAGTTTTATAACAGTGCTCTGGCAGCAGTTGGACAACTCAATGAGTATTCTTATGGGTTCTTTGTTATGCAGCTGGTTGCATGCGTGCACATGCACACTACTGCAAACTTGTCGCAATCTCCTGCTGGCAAGTCCATGAGGTTGCTTATCTCCACAAGTTGGCTATTTCGACAGAACACTGGCTGCCTGTTTTTCCTGTCTCTGAAGCCCGTCTACCCCTATGCTGCAGCATTGGAATGTTCCTTAGCGTAATTACGTCTTTACACTGTCTATAGAACGTGATGATATATGGGATCTTACTACAATTTGAACATCACCGTTACTCCTTGTTTAGTTTTAATTTGAATAATCCCTAATTAATTTCTATTTTCAGCTTGAATCCCTATTAATCCTTTTTCATTTTCTACCTCTTACAACTCCCACACATTAAGAGGCTCTTTTCTAATATCTACTGCAAGGGAAAATTATTTATATACTCTGATGTTTAAAGGAGAACTATGGGGCAACATTTTTCCCCATAGTTCTCTTTTGGGTCACAGGAGGATATATACTGTGTCCTCCCATGACCAAAAGCTGGCTGATTGACAGCTGGCTCTGCCTTTCTAGAGTCAGCGCTGAAAGATCGGAGAGGGGAGGGGGGGAATCCTTGCGGGGAGCAGTGACTGACGGTCACCATTCTCTGCAAAGAGGTGAGCGGGTCAGCGGTATGTTTTCGCTCACTTCCCAATCAATAGAGCCAACATGTGGCAGTTTTAATGTCACACTTTGGCTCTAACTCTAACTATGAGGATGAGTGTAATTCACTCGCCCCATAGTCCTCCTTTAACTTACTTTTTTACCTTTCAAACACAAAAAAAAGAGGACAATTAGAATTTGTTTACTGTGAGTAGAGCCTCTGTTCTCTTTCTTTCATTTGTAAGGAATCCACAGCTCCCAAGAGCACATAGCACACTTCACATTAGGCTTTTTCCTTGATGGAATATATAATCTAATGCTGCTGCAACAGTCAAACAGGTGCCCATACTAGTGCCTAGACATGTGCGATTCGTTTCGTTACGAATCGAAATTCGTACAAATTCTCCTGAAATTCGTAAATTCGGAAGCATCCGAAATCCGAATTGCAGTTTCCGAATTATATCGGAAATACGAAATTCCGTTAACGAATTTCGGATCCGAATTTCTTTGAAACAGGAACTAATATTACCCCTGTAAATGAGATTGAACAACATGACAAGATTTTTTTTTTAATCCGAAATACGGATCCGCTGCTGCTGAGGGTTGCATTACAATACACAGGCAGGAAATACGAAATTCTGTTGACGGAATTTCGTTCCGTTACGAACATTCGTTCTATTGAAGTTAAAAAGCAAAGTACATTTGTTAATATACTGGAGTTGATGGTAGTTTTTTTAAAATTTGAAATTTGGATCCGGAATCCGTTAACGGAATTCGTATTTCGTTTGGTTGACCAATCAGACTTTTTCTCTTCTGCTGCTGAGAGTTGCATTACAATACAGACAGGAAATACGAAATTCCGTTGACGGAATTCGTATTTCGGATAAAAAAACAACTACCACATCGACTCCAATATTAACAAAGGTATTTTTGCTTTTTAACTTCATCATAACGAATGTTCGTACAGTTACAAAAATGTGCTGAAACTAACGAAAATTCGTATTTCGTACGAATCCGAATTGAGTTTCGGACACGAATTACGAAATACGAAATAACGGATATTCCGAAACGGAACGAAACGAAACGGAACACATTTTTTGACGGCGCACAAGTCTACTAGTGCCAATTTTAGGTCAAATCCAGTTAACCTGCCAGTATGTTTTTAGACTATGAGAAAAAACTAGATCACATGAGCAGAATCTATAAGCTCCATTCAGATATATGTTTGTAGCTTCATTCAGATATATGTAGCTTGGTTTTACTTATGATCTTGTTATTGTAATTTGTCTGTTGAAATATTAAACAAACACAAGAATGTCCAAAAAAGCAAAAGACTCACCGATCCAATTTCACCAGACTGCAGGTCAATACAGACATCAGGTGAAGGCTGCAGCTCTCCCACTCGTCAAAAAATATCTCTCCAAACAGCCGCACAAAACTGAGGTCCATAAAAATCCAACTGTATTGATGTCAATTCCATGCAAAGTTCAAAATACAAGGTATACACCACCATAGTATCTCTCCCACTCAAACGCCTCTCATGCGTTTTACCACCTGGGCTTAATCATAGAGGTGAAGTTTCTTATTCATTCAAGTGCTTATACATGCTGAGTACCACCAATCTCACAGGTGATGCCTACGTAGATAACTTCTGGATTTAGCCAACTTAGTTGGAAATAAAAAATCAGTTTGAAATAGCCAATAGCAGGCTGGCTAATGCACTCGCCCACTACCCTATGTAAACATTTTGTCAGGCAGCGAGTGGCAGATGGGTTTTTTTCCGTCGGGTTGGCAGGCGTCGAGATTTCCAGATTGGGACAATTTACATCGCTGGACAACATGGTCAATGCTGGATTGACATCGTGGGGCTTTTTTTTAAATAAAGGAATTGTCAAAAACTTGTGCTGTGTATTTTTTTCAACTAAAGGTTTTTTTCTAAGGTGTTGTGTGTGTTTTTTTTTTACATTTTGTTTACTGTATATGGTGAATGAGTAGGGGTACCAACTACCCCTTACTCATTCCTGAGGGGAGGGCGGCATCTGGGTGCCCTCTTTATGAAACTCCAAGGGCATGTGGCCTGGTATGGTGCAGGAGGGGGTGGGCGCACACTTGTGGCCTATTTCTTGCCCTACCAGGCTTCTGCTCAGATCAAGGGTCTGGTATGGGATTGTGGAGGGGACCCCCATGCTTTTTTGGGGGATTTTTGGGGTTGGGTTCCCCCTACAATTCCTATCAGACATAACGGGTATGGTATAAATGGGGGGAAGTCGGACGCTGTTTTTTAAAATTAATAATAACATTTAGTAAATTATTACTTTTTTTCAGTTTTTTTAATTACTTTTTTATTGTTTCTGTAGTCCACAGAAACAATAAAAACACAGCAATTGGTAATTCATATTAGACCCTTTAGGTCTGTTAGGCATTTTAGGGGGAACCCAATGCCAAAAAAAATCAAAAAAGAATGTGCGGTGTCTAAAATAATTTACCGGACCCTTGTTCTAAGGAGCAGCCTGGCAGGGCAGTAAAGGGGGGGGGCGAGCATGCAACCCCTCCCCTGCACCATACCAGGCCACATGCCCTCAACCTGGGGAGGGTGCTTTGCTAGGGGGGGACCCCCTTGCAAGGCACCTTGTCCTCATATCAACGAGGACAAGTACCTCTTACCCTTAACCCTGGCCCAGTGGTTGTGGGGGTCTGTGGGCAGGAGAGCTTATATGAATCATAAAGGGGCACCCAGATCCTGCCCCCCTTCGTGAATGAGTGAGGGGTAGTTGTTACCCCTACTAATTTACCAGATAGTAAAATTGCAAATGAACACACAACACCATATACAAAGTCCTTTATTTGAAAAAAAAACACACAACACAGGTTTTTGACAAGCCTTTTATTAAAAAAATAAACCCCCCAAAAAATGTCCATCAATGTCATCCCAAGGTTAATCAGCTATGTAGATCCACATCAAACACAATGGATGACAACCACCGATTCCCCAAAGAATAGCCTCTGACACGACCGATTCTGATGAAGTGAGTTGAGACATCACAAAACTTGTTTTGCCCCTTTGTGGACATTTTGTGGCAGATCTCCACCCCTTTTTTGACTTCAGGAACTTCTTTACTGCAGAGCGAAAGGGGCAACAGCCCCGGGCCCCATAATTTACAGGGGCCCACAGCAGTTGTCCCTTTGGCCCGGATCAGCAGGGAGGAGAGCAATGGCACCACTGGGGGCTGGGGGACCCAGCGGTGGATGTACCCGAGGCTGGGGGGCCCAGTGAGATTCGGTTCCATCCCCATCATTGAAGGAGGCATGGCACTTTAATTCTTCTAAAATATTCCACTACCATAGTGCACCGTGCTTCCTGGGAACCTTGCAGCAACCTTCTGGGAAACCATGGCAGCATCTGTTTACAGTGCTGGCCTACGCAAGGCCCCTGCTGGGATCTTCCACATCTAACCTCCTGCAAGCTGCCAAATCGGCCTTGATGCAATCTGCAACATCTCTCCTGCTGCGATCTGCCACATCTGCCCCTTCTGCAATCTGCCACATCTGCCCCTTCTGCAATCAGCCACATCTGTCTCTGCTGAGATTTGCCACATCTCTCCTGCTGCAATCTGCCACATCTGCCCCTGCTGCGATCCTCCACATATGCTCTGCTGTAATCTGCCTCATCTACTTCTGCTGCGATCTTCCACATCTCTCCTGCTTCAATTTTACACATCTGTCCCTGCTGCGATCTGCCACATCTG